AAGCTGTTAACCTTGAAGGGAAACTGAAAAGAAGTGCAAATCTGTCCTATGTGATAATTCAGGAGATGTTATCACATAGGATAGATTTGCACAAATTTTCTTTCTCTGTATGTGATTCTTTATGTGATTCTGAATAAAGGGATATATATATGAGTATATGTGTTCAGAAAAATAACGGAGAAAAATTGCTTTTGCCGTTAAACTGCAGTTTGAAGAATACGATGGAAACTAACCCAAATTTGTATTATTTCCAAATATAGTACATTAAGTCTGAAACGCAAAATAATCATAGCGGAAAACACTATGCATTTTTTAATGCGTTAAACTACAATGCAACTTAAAGTTATGATATGATAATAATATTGATGATACTTTTTCTACATTCCGATTGCTGGAAATTTTCTTTGATAAATACTATAAAATTATTATTACACATTAAATATTCATTTGAACACAATTTCTGGCAAATTTGAACACAATTTCTAGCGAAATACTTATATCGAACTGGTTTACAATAGGGCATTTTTGGATCTACTGAAGTTTATTCGTACTCCTTGGAATCCGTTCTACATTTCCAAACCATAATGATTCTTTGGGGCGGGAGGAGTTTGCCTGCTATTCTTTGCGCACTGATATCTCGGGGAAAATAAACGAAATCAAATATGTTTTATCTGTTTTCGGCATTGTTTCTCTTTCGACATACTATAAAACTTATTTTAAGCAAATTAAGTTAATGATACTTGATTTATTTTATTTAAAGGAAAAAAAAAAACTTGACCGCCTTTCAGCTGCTGAAATAGGCTGAATATGTACAAGGCCCCTCTTTGCTTTAGCCTTATTAAGGAGTTAATGGGAGCCGCTTTGCGGGTGAAAATCTCCATGGGCCTAATCAGGGGCCGCGATCTCTCGTCACTTGGCGGCCCGCGGGTAAATAGACGATTAATTTGTAATTACGCGCTCTTGCTCCCAAGAGACACTGACTGATTTGATGGGTACATTAAACACACGGGCGGATGAGAAGCGGGTGGGAAGAACTTCCAATCACGAGGGTGAGATTTCGCCCGTTAGAGAAAGGTAAGTCGAGTCAACTTGCAGTTACTGGCTCTTCCACATTTTCGTAAATTTAACGGCATGTAATTACTTGTTTTCGTACTCTGAAGGAAGTCGGAAAAGAAAGAGAAGATGAAAGCAGTCCAAATAGGGACTTGCAAATACATGCTTCATTGGTGAGAAAAAGTTAAAGGTAATGCGTTACGGAATAGTAACTGAAAGCTTGAAGACAATTTTCGATTGCGTCCCAAAATAAAATAAATCATTATTCACACTTAAAAAAATCTGATGAGGACATCACATGATTCCTTGTATGGCCTATGAAGATATACACATTTTTTGTTGAATTTCATTTAAACTTATTTCCTTAAATTTCATTAGAGATATATTTCTCATTCAATTAATGTGTGATTAATGAGTGAGAACATAAAAACTCAAAACATCTTCATTAAAAATTGTAAAGTACAGAGAAACATAAAACACCAAATACAGTTAGAACAGTTTAAAAAATAATTGTTACAATTAAAAATTAAAGTTTATACGCAAAAACAAGCAATACGACCAGCTGGCAAGAAGACATAGTTTTCGGTGCACAAAACTGAAAATTTACTCTTAGTCTTACTCGGCAAAAAGACGTCGAAGGTGTAGAAACTAAATTAATTCACTATTCTACTGAGTTTCAAATGTAAATAAATGATGTTTCGTTAGACCTAACTCACCACTTTGATAATTCTGCAACTGAATTATTATTCAAATTGTTGATAATTCTACAACTTATTAACAAAAGACATATAAACCTTAACCGGAACATAAAAATCACATAATTCAGTCCCTTTTAAAGCAAAACATGCACAACTTACCAACATATGAGAATATAAAAACCGAACCAGGTAACAGAGTAAAGGATATATATGTATACGATTGGTGCAGCCGACTAAAACGAAAATGCGAGGTGCACAACTACATGTTATAGGAGTCACATATACAAAATTCAACGTTCTACGGCTACTCATTCCTCAATTATGCCAGACACATACATACCTACGTACATATGTACGTACAGACGTCAAGGAAAACAAAATCTCTTTTGATTCCAATTTAAATCCATTTTACAATTTCTTTTGGCAAAACCAGTTTTCTTACTCGTACGTACATATATCACCCAAAAACATCGTTCAAATGGTTTCGAGAGGGGTTGAAATAGATATTTTCGTTGATAACCAAGATTTTTCGGGATTATGCAAGGAAGGTACAAAGAAGTAAGGAGAAGAATAAAATCTAAAATGATATGAGTCATCGGAAAGGATTATCAATAAAGATTGCCCAAGTGGAATAACGAAACATGTTATAATAGGATATCAGATGAATAAGCGTTTAGACTAAAATAGGAACGTCGTATAGCTTCTATATATTTAAAAAGTGAAAAAGTATGTAATGTAATTCTATAAAAATATTTAATGCTTTTAATTAGATATATCATGAATTGAGTGTATTTTATTTAAATCAATTAGATTAAAAAGTTAAATAATATTAAAAAGATATGCATAATTGCTCTTAAGTAGTTTATTTTGCTGTTTAATTACAGACAGTAAAAATATAAAATAATATCTTACTTTTTCCGAATGGGTACAGACTGGAATGATAAGTGAAACAACGCAAAATCATATTTCGAGACTAATAGCCTTTTTAGCCTTTAATAATGGTAACAAACACACACACACACACACACACAAACAAAAATAATAATAATAATAATAATAATAATAAATAAATAAATGAAAAAATAAAAAACCCTGAAAGGTTTCAAATTTTAAATTACGTCTAAAGGGGCGTTTTTTTCTTTTTAACGTTTTGTGTGTTACCTTTATTTATTAAATATCATGTTCTTTTGCACATGTCATTTCAGAAAAAGTCCGATTTTGTGTCAAAATACCTATACTAAAACAATGCTATATATAAATCTAATACATATCCTAAGTCGCGCTTTCGAGACGTAAACCAAGCAAGTTGAATTTCGTCAATCGGTCCAGTAGAACGGGGAGATATAGAACAGTGTTCTTTTTTTTTTTTTTTTTTTTTTTTTTTTTTTTTTTTTTTTTTTTTTTTTTTTTTTTTTTTTTTTTTTTTTTTTTTTTTTTTTTTTTTTTTTTTTTTTTTGTTTTTTTTTTTTTTTTTTTTTTTTTTTTTTTTTGTTTTTTTTTTTTTTTTTTTTTTTTTTTTTTTTTTTTCCCCGCAGTGTATGTTCCTGTTATAAAATGTTGTTACACGTTCGTGTATATATAATGCTTTTATTAAATGTTATTACATGAGCTTGCATTAACCAGAAGAGCTTTGAGTCACAGTTCAGACTTTTTCCAGTATCACGCATTTTTAAGCCATTTGTATATCTTATACTTAATGATATAAGGGATTTTTTAAAAGAAATTTTAAAAAGTGTAGTCACCACATCGCTATGAAATTCATGGAAAGTTGTCTCCACGAAATATAAGACTTTTTTTTTAAATTTATAATATAAAGGCTTAATTATTTGATTTGTTAATAAACATTTGCAAACTTTAATTATCTTCATTTTTGGATTATGCGAAAAAAGAACGACTTTATTATTTGATTTGTGCATATTCATTTGTGCAAATTTTAACAAACAAATTAATAATGATTTGTGCAAACTTTTGTTTACTTCAATTTTAGGATTTTTCTCTACAGGTCCATTTGTGAGATGGTATCACAGCATCAGCCATTTGCTATACCATAAAAAGTAATCATGAGATGTATACAAGAAGGCAAAACATTGTCGCAGAAAGTTTTAAAATCATTGAGTTCTTCTTCAACCCATTGAACCCCCAAACACTTCTCTGCCATGTAGGAGAGCCAAGTCGATTTTTACTAGGAACTTTAGACAGGTCTGTGACTGATTATTGAATGATCGCTTCTGCAACTGTCAACAAAAGATATATCTGTCTGACATTTCAACAGAACTTAAATTAAAACTAAAGCTACAACAGAGCCACAAACACGATCCACAGCGAAAGGTTCTAAGATAATGTAATTTCAGAAAGAAAACGACGAAGAAAAATGATTTTGGCTCGGCGGCTCCAAAAAGAATGAATTCCCATCTGTGTTTCTGACTCTGTTCTTCCATTGTTTCCCCCAAGACGCTGACTCCGTAGTTATTTTGATGGCTATGAGAAACGTCTATTCATTGGACAACAGTGTCTGTGCCCTTGTTTCAAAGTGGTCTCAGTTTTTTTTGTATTTGGGAAGAGGATTTTAAAATCTAAATCGCAGAAGTTCCACTGAGTGCAACATAAAAATATCATAAATTGCAATTTTTAGGTCTAAAAGAAATAAGCACATAAATTAAGATTACAGCGAAGTTCTGTATGTTTTTTCAGACCACTTTCTTTCTCAACAGCTTTTACATGAAGCTTATTAAGATATGCTGCTTATTTTTTTAATTTACCTCATTTAAAAATTGATAAAATCTTACCTTATTATTTTACAGTTGTTTCTCAGAAACCGTCTGATTCACAAATTTATTTAAAATATACATAAAATTTTGAAAGTGGAATTTTAAATTTGACTTTGATTTGTCTCTTTCCGCAGGTAACAGCAATTATTATACTTATAAGGTATGTTCCGGTACACAGGAACAAAACTACTCAACCTGACTCTATTTCGCTTTTGGCATTATGCCAAAGAACATTAATTCAAAAAAACAAGCAGTTGAACTGTCGGACTCAGACGATCACATTCGCAAGGCAGCTGGAATGCTGTCTATTTTTCATTATTCGTTATTTTTGTTCTGTTCTCGCATCTACAAGTTTTATATATCATTTTCGTGTTTATACTTATATATTGTGCACTATTTAATATAAGTTTTGTGTTTTAAAAAGAGGTTGTGTATCCGATTCATTCACATTACATCGTAACAAGGTATGACATGTACTTACCCCGCAGGAGAGCCGTCATTACACGTGACCGTCTTATTGGTGAGTATCACTTTTCTCATAGCTGGGGCTTTGCTGCTTCGGCACTCGTGCAGTTCGTGAAGTAGTTGTCTAATGAGATCTAAACCTGGGCTGCTGATTTTCGAAAGGCCGCGAGAGTTAAGCAGCACTCTAAGTTCAGGTAATCGGGTGCCTGACGAAAGAGTTGTGGGAGTCGGAGATCCTAGGATGAGATTTCCTTTCAATAGAACTGAAGAAAGAGAAATGAAGAACCACCACTTCCAAAGAAAAACAAGCATAACTGATGAACTTGTAATCTGAAAAGAAAAATCAAAACTGTACGAGAATATTGACATTCTAAATCATCACATCAGGGCTTAAGTTCTAAAATTATTAAGTCCCGGAGCCCTATGGAAGCCTATCCAAACGGAAAAAATAAATAAATAAATAAAATAACTCAAAAATTAAAATAATTAAATAATGAATTTAAAATTGAAAGAATGGTAAACAGATAAATACAAATTTAATAAATTATTAAATTAATTATAGGTAGTTAAATAAAAACTAAATTATCCGACCTCGTCTTATTTGGGCCTCCGGCTGGAATTGCATTTCCACGCAGAAACTAAAAGAAGTAGCTCAGATGATTTCTGTCTGAATTTAAGCCCTGAATATGCATATAATGTACTATTCCAAGGAATGAGAGATATAAAACTCACTTTTTGGGGCAGCGCACCAAAGAAAAAAGATAAACGTCGCAAAAGCTGGTATCACATGTCCATTTATTTCAAACGAACAACTGTTTCGGACAATATTTTAACCTGCTTTACCACTGAAAGAAAGACGCACGATTTTTTATTTCTTTCGTAAAAACATTATAAGTTGTCCGTTTTCAATAACCAATCAACTCTTAGCATCGATTTCCCTGTCATCAACCATCATTTGCATTGGATAACTAGTTTCTTCTTTACATGGTAACCCCAAAACGATACGCAGTGATTGGCTGTTTCGTATCGTGCGACAAAGCAGAGTAATTGTTAAAAAGAGTTGTTCTTTAGAAATGTTTTAAATGTGTGATACGACCTTAAAGAGAATAGTGAGAATTTTAGAAAGAATATGAACATATGGAAAGAAATTTTAACGGAAAAGTGTAGTTTTGAAAATAAAGAGGGAAGAGTCCAAGAATTTCTGATCGCGATGCTCTGTCGATATAATTTTCGTGAAGCAGAAATTTTCCCTGAAAATGATCTGATTATAACTTGAGAATAAAAGTAAGACCCTTCATACAAGAGACAGTAGTGGTTCCCCCCATTTGGTTACATCATTCCAAAAGTCCACAGGAGCTTTCCAGTAGGAAATCACTAGCATAGCCAGTGCACGACTAGGGCGACCACTTTTAATACTTTCAGGAACGAAACATTTACCCGCTTTTATAAATTCATTGCACTTCAGGGAGGATAAACCTATGAGATATGAGTAGGGACTTGTCTTTATTTAAAAATCTCAACCTCTGTCCAAGTTTTGTGCCCGGGGTAAAGAGAGGCCTGCATTCAGAAATAAGAATCAATTTTTAGTCATATTTATTATTAAAATAAAATTTATCTATTGAAATTGTGATTCACTTCTATAAGAGAAAAGCTGAACCCCCCACCCATCTCCTTCCATTTAGGGTTACGGTACGCTCGGGCTAATGATTAATTAATATGATCGTCATTTCTTCTATAAATCGGGCAGAATAATCGAGAGCTTATCGTAAAAAATGGAGTTTTTCATCACTACCTATGTGGCCTCAGTTTACTCAAAATTATTAACAAAAATTCTGATTTTTCTTGCTAGGAGATGAGAAGCCTAAAGAAAACTTTGAAAGAGGAGCAACTTTTATTATTATTATTATTATTATTATTATTATTATTATTATTGTTATTGTTATTATTATTATTAAGACGGTGATGCCTGTCTGACATTTCTCTAATTCATCTCGAAGTTGAGTAATTAATAATTTCGATAGCTTCTTCAACTATTTAAACCCATTTCTGTTGGTTTGGCTCGAATATGTATGGGTATCTGCAGCATTCGTCATGTTCGATTAAATCTTCCGTGCCATACATGCAGGACATTGCATTTTCCCTTGAAAGTTTCAGTGAGAAACAATGTAAGCTGTTTTAGTCAATTTAAAACAAATTTAATATTGAACCTATTTTTGAAAGGATTACCTCCCCAGCTGAAAGAGAAAATCCCTTTTCACTGCCTACGCACCATAGCTAATTAACCGGAAAATAATATTTGTCCAGTTAGAAAGCTGATTGTAAGGAAGGGTCAAACTTTGCAAATATTGGTTGGTAAAGAGGAGAAAATCTTTTCAAAGTAGTATATAATTTAGGAATTTGGGCCGAAAACTATAAACCCCTTAGCGCAGTAATCTAATAATGCTTGCAAAACTCTCTGATCAAATGTCTTTCTCACTTCTGATTAGGTTCGATTTACATAAGACCAATGCATTAATTGGTAGAGCTCGTGCATAAAAATTTACTGTTTTAATTATTTTCTTTATTTGCCTTCCTATTTATGCTTGTAGCGGACCACACTGAGATGAGAAAATCGTGTGTGCGGTCCCCGCAAGTCACTGTTTTCAACGACATGACATGGTCTGACATCGCAGACGCAATAATTCGTTCCAGTTGACAGTACAAGAGACGTAACTTCACGACCAATGTCAAGAGATTTTAAATTTCTGTCCGTGACTGTCGTAAAAGGCTCATGATTTCAGAAAGGCTGACGATTCAATGATCTTGTTTTGCCTCTGATATCGTTCCAGATATAACGAATCAGAGGATGTAAAATACTACTAAAAAATTAAGGAGTCGTGGCTAATTCAGTTTGCAGATTTTTTTCCATCGGAACAGCATCCCAGAATGCTCTTAAACTCTCCACTACAGGTAGCTCGTTAGCAGGTTCCTCACGTCACGAGGACTATACTTCACTACCATAATTATTCTATGCAACCAATGAATTATATATATATATGTAATAATAAAATTCCATAGTCAAGAACAGTGCTCCGCAACCTTTTCTCACCTGCGACGCACAAAAAATCTTTCTGGAATTTCGTGGCACACCAAAGAGTTCCGAGTTATCAAGGAAGTGCCGAAAAATTTCAAATGCTGACACACTTACAATCACACACACAACCACACAACGGTGAAATATATAAAAACATTTAAAATAGACATTATTAAGGGAAAAAATTGTCATTGTGTATTAAATACATGATAAAAAATTGCAAAATGTCAAATACTTGTATTTGATTGCGGCACACCTATATCCTACTCATGGCACACCAGTGTGCCGCGGCACACCGGTTGCGGAGCACTGGTCAAGAATACACTTAAAATTCTAACTGTATGTTCTTTTCATTTTTAATGGCGACGTTCTCTTATTTGAAAGTACGTGGAATTAAATCCACAGCCCCGTAGTCAAGTTCTTTTTCCCGCCTTTTCTACACGTACAGTTATAGAATGTTCTGGAAATATTTAAAGCGAACTGGATTGGCTGACGTCATTTCTTGAAAGCTCCACCTTTCCAGAGGCTATAAAAGGACTCGCAAAAGAATATCGGGGGCTTTTCTTAAATGTCACGATGCAGTAAACTTCATACAAAAAGTTGTTAGTAATTCTTTTTATTTACTCCGGATTTTTGATTTTGTAACTGCTATTTCTCCTGAATAATAATAAATGGATCCTGTTTTTATTTTAAAACTTATCGTCTGATAATTTAAGCTAGGACTAAAGCTGGTACATCACATATATATCTATTTAAAAAGCTTCTCGTAATTGTATTGAGTTCAGAAATGCAGTAAGTATTACACAACTTCACAAATGTACTAATCATTATATGGACTCTGAAGTGCTTCCTGCCGCCGATTACCTACATGCTTATAAACGATAAGATTAACTTTCAATGAATTTTTCCAGGGAATGTGTTACTGAACTCCAGCATAAAAACGAAACATACTACTTATATACGATACGTGAGTGAAATTAATGCATTTTCTTAATTCAAAATACTAACTTAAAGAATATGAAATACTAACAGAAAATATATGATTGTAACAGCTTGGCATCCTTTGAAAAAATTTTGAATTTATATTTTTTGTTAAGAGACATTTAATTTGTGATAAAAGTTAAATTAAAATACGCTAAATAAATATTGCAAAATTTTTTTCTGACTGTTCGTAGCAGAATGCTTTCTTTCAATGCGTTTCATGAACTACCATGGAGGGGGGGGGAAGACTAAAAAATTAGGATCTGACTTACAAATACTTTTATAGGACTTAAGTTAAAGAAAAGTTTGCAAATGAGAAAAGATATCCAAAATCGAAGAATTTCCTGAGAAAAGAGTGGAAGGAAGACTAATGACTTTCCTAAGAAGTCATTAGGACTTTTGAAACAAGAGAGGCGAAAAATGTGCAGTGTTCTCATTGGGACTCGAACCTTTGACCTCTCGAATACACGTCATGTATGCTTGAAATTATACCACGAAAGAGTGCTGAAAGCAGGGATAAAACACCTTATATACTCCCCCTTTTAAAGGGCGACTGGGGATTATCGGCCCTAATCGCCAAATCCTGGTGTGGTGATGAATTTTCGTCAATCGCATTTTATTTCGGGCGCCACATGTAGAAATCTTTTAGAATTTTTCGATGCAGTAGACGTCAAAAATGTGCAATGCCCTCTCCGGGGCTCGAACCCCGGACCTCTCGAATATGACCCGAGAAGGCTTCCAATTACACCACGAAGACATGCAGAAAGAAGGGAGAAAATACGTTATAAAGAGCAGATCCCAAGATGCTATAGTCGATGATAAAAATTATAACTGTCACCCGAAAAAGTTATGAGATGACTTATTTTCATTTCATTGCTTGCAATATCTTCTTACATATTATTTTCATCTTTCAACTGGTCCATGCATCTACTTTTGCACATTATTTTAGGTTGCCATTGATCTTATTTTGAACAGTTTATTATTCTTTTTCTTCAGCTGATGCGATAAAATGCGATGTCATAGATGAAGACTTATCAGCTGATGCAACAAAATTCGATTTCACTGACTAAGATCTGTAATGTTTTGCAGTACTATGAAAGGTATCACCTTGTAAATATTATTTGTAATTGCATCAAACATAAAAACTTACTTTATTGTAAAGATAATGACTTTTTGGTCTTTTGCATAAAATTCGATACGCGTATATTTATCTCCTGTGAGAGATGGTTCTTTGTAGATACAGTATGTTTATGACTATACGTTTCCAGCATACGTT